ATTCTTAGTATGTTTATCGGAAAAATTTTAAATTTTTATTCTCATTGTGGAAGTTTTAGATTCAAGTGAAGCTTTGTTTAACTTTTGCGAAGTTCTATTAATTAGGCTGTATTTTTCTCTGGCTACAAGAAAAGAGGAGAGTAGCCTTTTTGTGGGATACAATTGACTACCTTGTTTTCTAGAAAACTTTTAACAACTGGTTTGTGATTTTCATTCGCTAGACATCAAAGTGGAACAAATATGTTGAGTTACGAACAAAAAAAAGTGTTGAAATCTACAACTAGTTAGGCATAGAACTTCAAAGTTTTTTTGTTTCTATACTTTTTGCATGGTTCGCCATAACCTTCTAAGTAACCATACTTTTGTTTTCAATTTTAGTTAGTCAGTTCCTTATGATAATTTTTTTACACTTTTATTGCAGAAAAAATAGACATATATGGAACAAGGTGAAAATATTGAATGTTATGATGAGAAAAATATGGATGAAGATCCTTCAAATCCAAAAGGGGTAAAAGTGCCTAAAGTTGGAATGTCCTTTTCCTCTGAAGAAGAAGTTCTCCATTTCTACAACATCTACGCACAAAGTGTTGGTTTTGGCATATCCAAATTAGGAGGAAAAAATGGAGATGATGGCAAGCAGAAGTATTTGTCAATCAGATGTGCCAAAAGTCGTATTACAGTGTCTCGAGGAAAAAACATCTTGCTTCCCCATCCAGTCACAAAGACAAACTGCAAATGTTGTTCATCAAATTGATGGGAGTTTTATGATTACTCGTGTTTACCTTGAGCATCATCATACCTTGAGTCCTGGAAAGTCACGCCATTTCAAAAACAATAAAGTTTTGGGTTCTTCTGCAAAGAAAAGATTAGAGTTAAATGATCAAGCTGGGATACCTGTCTGTAAGACTTTTGAATCATTTTTTGTGGAACATGGTGGTGATGAGAATTTGTCATTTGATGAGAGAAAGTGTAGGAACTATGTGTCTCAGGCCAGAAGGTTGAGACTGGGGACTGGAGATGCCGAAGCATTGAGTAATTACTTTTGCAACATGCAAAGTCGGAACCCTGATTTTTTTCATTTGATTGATTTAGATAAAAATTGTCACATACGAAATATTTTTTAGTCAGATGGTAGATGTAGAGCTGCATATGATTACTTTGCTGACGTGATTACGTTTGATAGTACATATCTGACTAATTTTTATAATATGCCTTTTGCTCCATTTGTTGGAGTAAATCATCATGGTCAATCTATCTTGCTTGGATGTGGACTGATATCAGGTGAGGATCAAGATTCATTCATTTGGTTGTTTAGGTCATGGTTATAAAAATGTATGGATGGGCGTACTCCAAAGGCTATCATTACAGACCAGTGTGTAGCTATGCGAATTGCAATCGAAGAGGTATTTCCGGATTGTCATCATCGTCTTTGTCTTTGGCATATCATGAATAAAATTCCAGCTAAATTGAGTCCTTATACTCAGTATAAGATGATTAAGAAACAATTCAAAAATATTGTTTATAACTCTCTGACCACTGGTGAATGTGAATAAAACTGGCAAAAGATGATCATATAATATAATTTAGAGAGTAATGAATGGTTGAGTAGTTTGTATATGGAACGTAGTAGATGGATACCAGTGTATGTCAAAGATACGTTTTCGGCGGGCATGTCTACACCTCGAAGAAGTGAAAGTACGAATTCTTTTTTTGATGGCTACATTAATTCAAAAACGACAGTGAAGTAATTTGTTGAGCAATATGATAATTTTTTGAAGAAAAAGATTAGAAAAGAAAGTGATTCTGAGTTTGAATGTTTCAATTCTACCATTCCTATGATCAATGATTGTCCCATTGAAAGGCAATTTCAAAATGTATAAACAAACTCGATCTTTAAGTTGTTCCAGAAAAAATTGAGAGGACTAATATGTTGTAATGCCTCATTGGTAAAGCAGGAAGGGATGACGTTGATATTTGAAGCTGTTGAGACCATTTACGGGAAAGACGGAGCACCTTCGCGAAGTTTTTCATTTTTGCTGCATTATACAGAGTTGCAATGTCAAGTTAAGTGTTTGTGCCGTTTGTTTGAGTTTCAGGGAATCTTATGTAGACATGTGATAGCTGAGTTGATAAAAAATAGTGTAACTGAAGTTCCTGTGTATTACATTTTGGATCATTGGTGCAAACATATTCAGCGCAGTTACCAAAATATCACAAACATTTATGATGACTTTGAGTGTGTTGAAGAAAGGCGGTGATTTAAGATTGTCTCTCCAGTTACACAAGAGGTACAATAACTTGCGTTGAAAAAAGATGAGAGATGTTATAAGTTGGTGGAACTCCTGAAGGAAGTGAAAGAGCAATTTATGGCTGATGATTCTGATACTTTGGAGGTTAAACAAGATAGTAATTATCCTACAGGAACTCAACATCGTGAAAAGCTACATAAATCACCAAGAGCTAAGTCAAAACTGATTTTCAGTCCACTAAAAGTAAAGTCTCGAGGTTGACCCAAGAAAAGACTACAATCTAATGTAGAAAAATTTGTCAAAAAAGTTCAGGCCAAAGCTCGAAAGAAGGTTTGTTAAATTTTTTTTATTAATAATAATTTCAAGTACTTAGTAAATTCTTATAGTAGTTCATTAATCTATGTGCACTTTTCAAGACGTAGACTTCATATCTTTACTTTTTGCATGACTTAACGCAGATTCCGCCTCGTAGCAACCAAGAACAAATGGCATCAAATGTTAAACTTCAAAAGAAAGGGAAATCGGTGAGTGGCTATACTATTTTGTTCCAAGTTGTGGGAGTGTAAATATGTTTTTGGTAAATTGAATAATACATGTCTTTTTTTACAAAATAAATAGGTGGCTGCTAGGGAGATCGTTGAAGATCCAACTACAAGCTTGGTGGAAAATAATGATGATATGGTATTCAAAAGTTCATATTATGTTTAAACACTTTATTGGTACATTTGTGACAGTCTATATCTTTTACTATTGTAGATTTGTTCTAGCACCTTTATGCCAAATGTTGATTCGACAGGCGCAAGATTTAAGTTTTCCACATAGTTTGCAGGCAAGCTTTTGATTTCAATGGCTTCTTTATTTGGTTTTGTCATTGAGATGATACTTTATATGATATTATATCTCTGTGTTTTACTCTAACGTTATAATAATTCTTTGAGTGAATCTCAAAACAAGCCATCAACCTTTAATATATTTCCACTCTAGGTCATCAATTAAATTTATTTGTAACACATGTTACCTTACTAAAGTTTTAATCCATTTCAGATTATTCTGTTAATTTTGGCCGTTAAATAGTGACGGAAATCCATTTTCCACATGTTTTTGGGTTCAGATTATTATTATTATTTTTTAATCTTTTAATTTTTTTTTTTATAATTCTTCTTCTTATACTTCCTAACTTGTATATATACTGGTAGTATAATTCTAAATTTTAAAAATTTATCTTCCTTTTGTATTTTAACTTCTAGATTATAAAATTTTTTTTAAAAAATTTAAGAAATGAAGAAGAAAAATTCGAGTTAAAGTAAACATGAAAATTAATAATTTATCATTTTAAATAAAAAAATTAAAATAATTAGCTAAGACAAGTTGTTTCTTCTAGGTTATTTAATTTTTTTCAACTCGATTGAATTATTTAATTATTAATTTTCACCTTTCTTATTGCTTTTTTTTAAAATAATCTACAAGTTAATATACAAATGAAAAATTAATTTTCAAAAATGAATATATTTTTCATTTGTATCTTAACTTCTAGATTATAAAAAAAAAAGGAATAAGAAATGTGAAAATTAATAATTAAATAATTCAATCGAGTTGAAAAAAATTAAATAACCTAGAAGAAACAACTTGTCTTAGCTAATTCTTTTAGTTTTTTTTTAAAATGGTAAATTATTAATTTTCATGTTTACTTTAACTCGAATTTTTCTTCTTCATTTCTTAATTTTTTTTTAAAAAAATTTTATAATCTAGAAGTTAAATTACAAAAGGAAAATAAATTTTTAAAATTTAGAATTATACTACCAGTGTATACAAGTTTAGAAGTATAAGAATTTAAAAAAAAAATTTAAAAGATCAAAAAATTAAAAAAAATAATAAAATGACAAAAATACCCCTGAACCCAAAAGAATATGTGAAAAATGGATTTCCGTCACTATTTAACGGTCAAAATTAACAGAATAATCTGAAATGGATTAAAATTTTAGTAAGGTAACCTGTGTTACAAATAAATTTAATTGATGACCTAGAGTGAAAATATATTAAAGGTTGATGACTTGTTTTAAGGTTTACTCTAATTCTTTTTTATAGCATGGTGAATTGATGGAGACAATATCATTCCAAGAGTTGTTATCGAATGCAATGTCATTCCAATATTCATCTTCACAACGTGCACAAGATTCATCTTCTCAAGTGATTTCATAAAAGTATTCTCGACGCCTCTAAAGAAGGAGACCTTCTTTTTTTTTTTTTTCGACTGTCTCAAATTTTGTAAGCATACTTTTATGATCAGAATCTCAAATAAAGCTAGAATGATAAAGACATTACATCTCCTTTTATCAACATCCATAATCAACGTATTTCTTATTGTTATCTTTTTGAGTTTCAAAAATATTTACTTTGACATCACATGAAAGTGATAAGCTCTATATTGGAGTAACTAAATTGGATAGCTTCAAAAAACATATCCTAATCGAAAAGAGATATACAAAAGTACTTTGTATACATGAAGCATCTAAAATTTCTTTAGAGTCTAAAGGATTAACTAAGGTCAGCTTGGGAGCTACCAACTCTCTGCCTACTACTTGTCATCCTATTAGTCTATCACAATGTAGTTGATCTCGCAGCATCCCTCTTCATCACTGCAGCTTTGCCACTACCTCCGAATTTTATTTTCAATGTCATGGTGAAGACGCATAATCCTAGTGATCACATGATCACGTTGCACGGGTGTACAATCTCGATTACATAGTGAGTTTAGAAGACAACCTCGCCTAATTGATGAAGATCGGAAAACCAAGCTAGTTTGAATCTTAGACCGGCGACGTTGGCGGAGAGGAGTTGAGGGACGGGGCTGCACCAGAAGGTTTAGGATTTGAAGGGGTTTTTTTTATTTTCCAGGAATTTATTTAATTAATTAAAAAAGAAAACTAAAACAAAAAACTGATTGAATATTACACCTAGGACGGCCAGGTCAGTCGAGATACGGTTTCGAGCTAAACTTTCGGAGTTCCGTATCATTTCTCTAAAATAAAATCCAAAATATTAATAACAACGTGAATTAAGGTTTGAAGAAGGATTAAAAAAAGGTATCATTATTCATGCTATTTTACTTTCTTTCCCATTATTTTGGATCGAAGGGTAAAAAAAATTCGACGGACATATTTCTCCGTATTTCAAAAAAAAAAAACATTCTGGTTTAATATACAATCAACATAAGTACTTCAGAAATGGCAATAGAAACAATCACGACATCAGGGCCCGCGTCAAGCTCGACCTCTTCTTCTTTGGCGGCTTCGATGTACAGACCTCCTCTTTCCTTTGTCGTTTTCCACCGACATTATCAGAAGATTCAACAACATCATATGATCCTTTCTCCTTGTGTTCATCATTAGCTGCTGCAGTTCCATTATTATACACCCATTTTGGTACCTCATGCTCTTCCATAAGACGGATTCTGTAGCCCTCCTTTCTCCTTCTCTCCTCATCCATCATCTCGAAAAGCCGAAACTCCTCGTCTGATCGAGCCGCGAGGCGATTGATTTCTCTCTCGCTAGGCACGTCTGTTGTGAGCGAGTTAGTACCGTTGCGCATCATCATCATCTCTTCCAACAGCTCCCTCCTATCTTGAGCTGTGGAAGTTGTGTTGAACAATCCAGCTTGAATAACTTTGGCATCTATCCCCATCTTTTTTTTTGGCGCGCTCCAAGATGACTTCTTCAATTGTTCCAGCGCTCACCAACACAAACACCCGGACCTCACTCTTTTGGCCAATCCGATGAGCTCGATCCTCTGCCTGTTGATCCATTTGTGGGTTCCAATCACTGTCAAACATGATCACCGAATCTGCCGTCTGTAGATTTAAACCAAGTCCTCCAGCTCGTGTGCTGAGGAGAAAAATGAAATGAGGAGAATCTGGAGCATTGAATTTCCGCAGTAAATCTCCCCTTTCCTCAGTATTTGTCGACCCATCAAGTCTAAGGAATTTATACCCCTGCATTTCCAAATAGGCTCCAAGAATGTCCATGAGATGAGTCATCTGCGAGAAAAGGAGGACTCTATGCCCAGCTCTGCGCAGTTTGGGTAGTAAGCGGTCCAGAAGCTCAAACTTTCCCGAGGCTCTGAATATCTCCTCCCCCTTTGGCCGATCATTACTATCTAAAAACAGATACGGATGATTACAACATTTTCTGAGTTGCATTGTAAGGTTCTGTAGGCTCTTTCCTTTTCCATTATCCAGTCCAACTCTCCCTTTGTCTGTGACTTGCTGATAATATATCCTTTGCCATGCGGACATGTCACATTTAAGCACCACCCGTGTCTTTCCCGGAAGACACTTCTCTACTTCGTTTTTCTTCCTTCGCAATATGAATGGCCTAATAACTTGGTGCAATCGCCGAATGATCAAGAGTTGTTCCTCTTCTGTTAGAGTCACAGTACTGTTTTTTTTATCCATAAAAGGGGAGTTGAACCATTTCTCAAAATTATCAACCGAATTGAAAATGTCGGGGAGCAGAAAGTTGAGTAGAGACCAAAGTTCCTGCAAGCTATTCTGAATAGGGGTACCAGTCAGCAGGAGTCTCCTTCTTGTGTGGTAGCCATTAACAATGGTTTGTACAAGAACAGAATCATGATTTTTAAGTCGATGTCCTTCATCAATGACCGTGTAGTACCACTGAATTTTCCTCAAATAGGTTTTATCCCTCATAATAAGGTCATAATGAGTAATCATCACATGAAACTTCTTCCCTTCTCCAAAATACTGTTCTCTGATGGCCTTCCTTGCATCTCGCCGCCCATCGTATAGAACAGCTACAATACTTGGAGCCCAGGTTGCAAATTCATTCATCCAATTAGGCAGTACAGCTTTCGGGGCAACAATCAAGTGTGGTCCGGCCACCCCTTTATTTTCCATGAGATATGCAATCAAAGAAATGGTTTGAACTGTCTTGCCTAACCCCATCTCATCAGCTAAAATCCCATTGAGACTGTTATTGAACAAAGACAGCATCCACTGAAGCCCTTCTAACTGATATGATCTTAATTCTCCCCCCACAAGCATGGCTGGTTGCTTAGTTACCTTCTCTTCAATTGAATGGACGGCTGAATTATACTGTCTTTGACCTTCAAGCAAATCACCTTTCTTTACTACATGACCATCAGATTGAGTTTCACCCTTTGAAGCAGACAACTCAGGTAGGCCAACATCTGAGCCTTTCAATTGAATGCCCTCATTATCAGCATTTTTTTCCTTTTGAAGCCTAATAAAAGCTCCCAGATTACCTAGAATCTCATTAGTTTTCTCAAGAAGCTCAGTCAATCTTTCGTTCTTGCTCTCCTCAACCATTTTATTGTAAGCCTCTTGATTGTCATTTTTCAGAGCTTGCATTCTCTTTTGCTCTGCCTTTAAAGCTTTTTGCCTTTGCTTTCCATGCCATGCCTGAACACCGTCATTGCGTTTTTTCCGCCTTCTTTGAGCACCCTGTACTTGCAATTGTAATTCAGAAAAAGTATTCATCAAATCTGCAAAAAATTTACCAAGAGCAGCCTTTTTCTCTTCTTCAAACCGGCCACGTTTCTTTTTCAGGGGATCTTCAGCATCAGTAACAAATGCATCAACAATTCCGTATGAAGGAAGACGTAATCGCATCATGCCCCAATCAAACAACTGATTCTCAGGATTGGTACATTGTAAACGAAGCCAATATTCCGCACTTACTTCGGTTCTTATTTTTCTCTGCAGGTCCGCTAACTTTAGTCCATAGAATTCGATCAAGCACTTTGACTGCAAGTCCTCGCCCCGACTTGCTGGGAGTTCTTCAAGCTCAATCAGACGCCGATGAATGTGGCTTTGGAATCGATTTTCTCTTAATTCAGCCAGTTCAGAACCTGATAAACAATTAGTTTGCCGCTGATTTAGCACTGCTACCTCAAATTCTGCCATCATATCATCCCCACCAACGACATTGGAGCTGTCGTTTTGATTGTTGACTTCACGTCCAGCGCCGTCATTATCCTCTTCCGGCGCTGCATCAGCGGCGGCGTCGCCGTCCTCCTCGTGGTAGATTGAAGACACAGCCTCAAATACATGCTGCGGCAGCGGGAGATTACGAGAAAGGAAATTAAGCGCACAAATTAATGCCCTAGTTTTCTCGATTTCACCGCCGCCAGCTCTTTCTTCTCCTCCTCCACCACTGCTCTGCTGCTGCTGTTGTTGTGGAGTGGTTTCCACCTGAGCCACCGCCATAGCTCGGAGGGGACGTTATGATGATCCTTCTGTTTTGCGTTTTCTCTTTTCTCAAATTTTAAGAACCTTTATTGTTATTAATTATTATTCTATTCAACTTAATATCGCGACGAAGGGGGGTAGGATTTTTCTTTTTGATACGAAAAAAAATAGTTTTGCAAATTCTATTAAAAACAAATAATATTCAACTTCATATACTTTCCCCCACACTGGTATAAACCATATATTCCTAGGACTAATAGGTTTATAAAAAGGACCCACTACCATATTATCACATTAATTTTATTTCAAATTATAAATTTTAAAATTACAAATAAAAATTTAGATATATGTATATATTAATACAACATAATTTTTGGAGAAGTATAGTCAAAATGTACAGTAAAAATTAATTATTAACTTTGTCACGTTTATATTAATTAACCAAATATTAAAACCACATAATCAACACATGAATTTGAATCATGATTTAGTTTTGGTAATTTGTAATAATTTTTTGTGGATTAAATAAATTTGAAAAATTGATAACGTTGTAATTAATTGGTCCAAGTATAAAAGTGACCCACAACGTTTATACTTAAACTATTTTAATTCTGAAATATAATTATGCCAGTTAAAAAATAATTTATAAAATTGACCAGGGACAAAGCCAAAGAGTAATGTGATGATTATTTCTTTATTTTTTAATCCTTTTTGTATTTTAGCATTATCTCAATTTATACTTACTATTTCATAATTTAATAAGATTTAGTGAATATTTATTACTGAAAACTTTTCAAAATTTTAATGTTTTAAGAGCTTAATAGTTTAATTCTGTTATTTTTTTTTTAAAAAATTTTGAATTTGATATTGTTTATAGTAGTAGTTATAAACTCCATTGAAATTTATTAGTATTTAACAAGCAAAAACTCTACTAAACATATTTTACACCCGTTGCATAATTCCGGTGCAACGGACCGGGTTAACATTAGTATGTTATTACTTCATAAAAAAAAATTATACTCTCAAATTCTTAGAATATTCACATAATAATTAAGTAAAATTTTAAAAGTAGATATCACATTACACAAAAGGAGAATAAACTAACATCTCACCAACACTAACTATATATTTCGTTTCACAGTCGTGGTCTAAATTCTAGTTTCTAATTATATCTAAACTAACATCTCACCAACACTAACTATATATTTCGTGTCACAGTCGTGGTCTAAATTCTAGTTTCTAATTATATCATGATTCTATACCTTTTGGCTAAGGTCAGTGCATGTTACATTCTTACATTCAGGAAATTTTATTGTGTTCCTTTCCAATGAAGATCAACTTTGGATGTACTTCTCCATTGCCTTGATGTTCATTTCATGACTCCTTGTCCCGTCCATTAATTGTAACACTTCATCCAGAAAATACTTTAGTAATCTTAATTTCTGTTTACATCGCCATACATAAATACTTCACCCAAAAGAACAAAGAGAAAGAAAAAAAAAAGAAGGTTGTTTATTTTTTATATGTTCTTTTCCTCAGAGGTAATATTCGATTTAGATTTCAAGCAGCAGGGAATGTAATAATCTCTACCTTCGTTGGCTTTTGGATTATTTTACCCCATTTTTTAAATGAATACTTTCAAAATGTACGATCTATTCTAGAAAGCGCATAAATAATTTCTCTATGCATTATAGAAAGAATAAGGAAACCCTAAGCGGCTATGATTCCGATCATAACATTGACAAAATAAAATTAAATTACTATTCTCTTTGTACCACAACTAGTTCATTTTATGATTCATGAGTCCACTTAAAACAATACAATTTCACAAATTGTAATATGGGCTATTTTTTTGAGCAGAAGAGATTTGACATGGAATAAGGATTGGTGAGATATTCCAGTTACTAATTAATGCCAACATAAGATTCAATTTTGAGATTTTTAAAGTCTTTGGCTTAGCTGATAACTTTCATCGAAAATAATGATCTCCATAATTTTTTGCCTCTGTGTAAATTATTTTAATCCGGAAATCAATTTTCTTCTACATCGCAGCCGCATCTGAGGATTGCACTCGACTATTGTATTTGTCAGTAACAAATTAACAAATAACACTCATCATCTGGAAAAGTCGTCGCAACTCTCTACGATGACGGTTTAGTTTCAAACATGATATTACTCCCTCCATCCCACAAAAATAGTCCATAATTTTCAAATTTGTACTAAAATTAGTTACAAAATTCAAAACTCAATGTGGACAATTTTTGTGGGACGGAAAGAGTAATACATATGATCCGCATATATAATTTGCCAAGAATATGGTTTAGGCGTACTCCCAAAGCTCATCTAGCTTGCATATATAGATTCAAATTGCACAAAGCACACACAAGAAACAAGACACAGAACTCATATTGGTTGTTCACCGTGTTACATGAGAGAATGTATGTAGACAAAAGGCACAAAAGTCCAGTTTGGAGCGTAAAAGTGCGGAAGAGAATTGGAAAACCCCCTAAACCCTAAAAGCTTATCATAAATTTTGAACATTTTGCTCATAGTAAAGCATCCAAAAGCTTGCTTTAAAATATGCTGCCACAGCATAATAACCTAAAACAAGGAGAAAGATACGATTGACCTAATTTACTCCCATCAAGAATGGTAATGCTAATTAATTAATTTACTATACATTCGAAACACTGGAATTATCATAGAGCATATACAAACCATCTCGTCTCTCAAATAGAAAATCAATAATAGTAAAAAATGAACTCTGCATAGCATGAATCCATATGATTTTCAGTCTTCCTATTCCAAAAATTGAACAATTCGAGATAACGAGAATATTACTTTTTGTAATCTAAAATGAGTCAAATATTGAATGTAATAAAGGTCAATCATAGATTAGAAACTCCATAAACAAAAGTGATCACTTAAGGAACGATGAACTAATAAACAATACTCCACAAAATATTATCTTTTGTCCAAAATAATTACACTGAAACAATCAGTACAATTATTTTAAAACGGAAAGAAAAGAATCCAAAATCTCCATAAGTGCGTCTCTACAACTTCTAATAATAAAAACGTCCACCGAAATCAGCCGCCGGATGAGACATATCATAAGGATAATTGCAGTCAAAACTATCCTGGTACAAGCATGGATCCGGTGGTCCATATTGTTGGTACATGGCGGACATGAGCAACGGAGCTACGTACCTTGCCGCCGTTGGTGGTGGTCCGACATGCCTAAATGGTCCATGACTAGGTGGAGCCCGCCCAAAGCCACGGCCGTGACGATAATGATGAACATGATGATTATGATTATACTCATAATCATCATCATAATCATCACCGAAATTCCATCTAAAAGTCACTTCAAAGCTTCTTGATCCTGGGAGCATTGGTATTTGATGCATGAATTCCGGGATGAACTGCGGAGGAGGCATAAACGGCCGGTGTCCATGTCCACCCTTATGAACAAGTCCGTGACTTGGCAGCCCGACCATTTGGCACGGTGGTCGGATGGTGGCAACTGGTGCCACCGCCCCCGCCGCTGCACCGTCATCGGCCGGTTTTGTCTCTTTCTTTTCACCCTTTTAATCATACATAATGTACATAACAATAACAAACACAAAAAAAAAAAAATTAGATACGGCGTAGTAGTTTCAAAATATTTGTAAATCGATTGTAATAATGTTCTAAAAGGTGTATAATTTAATTTATCAAATCATAATTGGATAACAGGCATAAGAGAGGTCCATAAACATAACTTTACTTCGATATAAAATCAGCACAATATTATTAAAAAAAACAGCAAAAAAAAAAGAAAGAATGAAGTAAAATTCATAGGTTTTGAGAAGTATACCTGAGCGTCCATGGCGAGAGAGATAAATGAAGAGGACACCAAAAAGATAATAAAAAATCGGTGGCAGATTTTCTTACAAATTGGACGGAGGAGAAGAACAACTTTGTGCCACCGATAAGAATAAAAGAAGAAAAGCTATATTGTGGCGGCTGGCACTATTTTTTTATTGTATTTTTTTGCCAATAATAATAAGGTAAGCAAATCCCTGGATTGTTTGTTAATGAAGGAAATCACACTGATTTGTAGGAGGAGCATTGCAATAATACGGAAGGGATGGTGTGTCGATCAAAATACATCGAGAATTTAGTTATGGAAATTAAATATCTCCAGTTTTGGTAATAATTTTTATCTCTTTCATTAGTACTGATTAATGATAGTTTTTTTTTTTTTTTGTATGATTACTAGTTAAACTGTGCTCGTAAAACCTTTCAATGGTGGATTGTGTCGGTGTTTTCTAATTTTTACTATGGCTAAAGGCTCCTCACAGAATTTTAAGCGGGTAAAAGTGTTGAAACATTTACTATGGTCGTCCATTTAATCCAAATATTTAATCAGATTATCGATTTCATCCAAAGGTATGAGTTTTGTCGTCGATTTACTCCTTTAGATGAAAAATCCCCTTTAACTAATGACAAATGGTCTCCACAGTTTAGAAATTTAAAATAGTACCTCGTCATGGTTTAAAAAATTACAAAAAAGTATTCTATTTTTTCTAATTTTTGTGTTCGATGTTTGTCTTTTTTTGAGTGTGAACCGAAATGATAGTTCTCAATTTATTTATGTATTTTTATCTAAATATGCTTTGAATTAACAAAAGATAATTTTAATTTATTTTCCGTTTGAAATGTCAACTCTTACATTTTATTTTTTTATTATTGTATGAAATAATTATAAATATACAAAATTATGTTACAAATTCATTTTTTCTTTTCCCAATTATTTTTCCTTTATTTAGATATATATATATATATTCTCAATCTCTTTTTATGTCTTCTTTTTATAATTTTTTTTTCGTTCATAGATAAACTTTGTATTACTTTCTAGAACTTTACAAACACCAATTCTTCCATTTACAGAGTCATTAGACTAACTTTTACAATTTAAATGGATACCAAGTTATCTAAAATACAAATATTATCATTACTACTAAATCTACAATGATATTGAGTTCTCCAAGTGACCTCTTGGATGATGGCACCTTTCCTTTCATTTGTAGTCAACTGTTGATTGCAAAATTTCCTTCCATTTCTCTCAGCCCAAATATGATTAGGAGCAGCAGCAATAGTAGCAAAAAGAACCCTTTGTCTGACCTGTTTATATCTTCAAACCTTAACCAATCTGGGAATCCAAATCCTAAGACCTCTTATAGTTATATTTTGTTCCATCCATTTCATCAGTTTCTATATAATCTCCTTGACATATATACAATCAAAAGAACAAATGATCTCCATCCTCCACTGGTCCTACACAGAATTCACATTTGATTGATTCCTTTAAAATCCCTAATTTACGAACTGAGTAAGAAACCTATCTTTTACAGCCAACTAAAAAAAGAAACTGTACTTGGGCACAATGTATGTGCTCCAAACTACTTGAAACTTATTGTCTTTAGGAATATAACCCATAAGCCAATTATATCCCCTTCTAGTACGGTTGTCCTGCATTGACCATCCACTTACTATCTCGAACACCATCTAACAGCTGATCCCTAACTTGCATTAGTTTTCTCCAATGCCATCTGATAATTCTATATCCCATTACTCTTCAAGTAGTATATATGAACCCATTTAATCCAAAGACTCGTTTTTTTTCTCAGCCAGGTTCCAAATCTTTTTTTTTCTCAGCCAGGTTCCAAATTTTTTTACCTATATCTGCCATGTTCCATACTTCAGGGTTTTTTAATATGCAAACCCCCTTGGGATTTTTCCATACAAACATCCTCTCCCACGAAATTGATGAGTGCAAATTGTACTATGTTTTTAGACACATAATTTGCCCTTTTATAATTAGTTTTTAGGTCAATTAGATTAAAATTTTATGTTTATAGGTTAATTTGGTGACTTTTGGTAATCCTGGGGTTGAATTACAAAAGAAGCAAAAAGGTGGTCAGAATGTGGCAAAATGGTGAAGTTTCGGGCCAAATTGGAAGATGTTGCAGGGACTGAAGTGCAAGGGCTTCAATTGGCAGAAATTTGGCGGGAAGAAGAGGCAAAAAAAAGGCGAATTTGGAGGAAGTCTTCGAAGCAAATTAAGGAAGAAGGGAAGGTGCTGAAGTGCTGAGCAAGTCTTCAAAGTAAAGGATTGATGTGCCTTAAAGCTGATTAGAGCAACCAAATCTCTTCCAATAGGTGATTAGAGGTAAGGGGGGAAGTTGAAGAAGTATGGGTCTTCTCTCTTTAGCTTAAACCTATCAGGTAAAGAGAAGACTAACTTGGCTAAGCAAAGATTACTTCTCCCAACCTCTATATAAAGCAGCAACAGCAGAAGACGAAGGCATCAGATCAGAATCCAATCCAAGAAGTAGAATAGATAGTAGAGTTTAGTTCAGTAGGATTAGAAACAGAGTATAACTCTAGAAGGCAGACTCAGGAGTGTCTCTTGGGAAACTGAGAAGCTGACTCTGCGAAGTCAGCTGAACTTTTACCACACTCCCTAACTTGCTTTCCCCATTTTCTATTCTATCTGTTGTAATCATGAAGAAGTCTCAACACTGGAACTTTGTAGTGTTTGAGCTTCACTCCATGAGTAGCTAAACTCATTTCTATGGTCAAATCCCTCTACTCTATATAATTATGTTTTGATTCAAGCTCTCGGATGGTATTTGTATGCTTAGTCTTAGAGTTTTAATTATCCTTTTAGATTGAACATACCATTCAAACTAATTGTGCTTGCATGTTAGGGGAATCCCAAGAGAGTAAAATTAACTTAGAGTGTCTAAGATTAACTGGTGATGAGGGGGTAACAGCCCAAAGTTTCAGACAACAACGAGAGTTAGTTGTTTGGCATGAGGCAATCATAAGGGCTGGAGTTCTTAATGGCTTAGTAGTATTCTAGAGTTAACAATGAGAGTTAGTTGGCTTGTTGCTGCTAGGACTGCTATTTGGAATAACGGGAGTGACCTTACAGTGTTAATATGCCTAATTGAATATAGTTTCATACAACATAGAGAGCTAAAAGAATTATTACATATGCATATAGAATAGAGAGGAGGAAGACCTTACGCTGCTATCACTTTGTCAAGTCATAAACTCACTTGCCAATTTCATATTTTTGTCCATATATTGCATTCTAGTATCGGATCCCAATTTTCATCAAGTGTTTCCGGTCTCTAATGGGATCGACGCTTCTTATCACTTACTACAAGTTGTAGGTTTATTTGGTCGTCTTGACACCCATCAAAACTAGCGCCGTTGCTGGGGACGGCTTAAAACATCTTTTGAAAATTTGTTACTGTTCATCGTTTTCATACTCTGTTTTTTTCGGAAAGCAGATTGGAGCTTAAAGGAAAATGATGTGGTTGAGATAAAGATAATGCTCAAGTCTTTTCAAGACAACCAACGTCAATGGGAGGCAAGGTTGAGTCAGAATGAGAAGCTATGTGCAGAAATATTAGCAAGAAGCCTGCCAAGTGATATTGTAGAAAATCCAAGGCAAGGTCCACAGGAGCAAGCCAATGTGGTATCACTTTGCAGCGGAAAGAAACTCACTTCCACAAGTGGGGATCTAAGCCAAGCACCCGCAGAAGTACCTAAGGAAGCTGAAGACATCATTGACCTTACTGAAGAAAAGGAAGCAGCAGTGGATTCTATGGGGGATTCTACAACAGTACCAGGCTTGTCAGAGGAGGCTCAATCTCCATCTCCTCAACAACAGCCTGATGTTCCAACACCCCCTTATCCACTCAGACAAGCAAGGAAAAAGACTTCAGGAGCAGCCATCAACAGATTCATGAACAATTTGGAAAGCTTACACATCAACATCCCATTGACTAATGCTCTAAAGCAAATGCCAAAATATTTCAAGCACCTAAAGGAGTTACTCTCAAGCAAGCCAAGGATTCATGGTTCATCATTCACACTTTGAATGAGAAGTGCAGTGCAGTCATTCTAAAGAAGCTGCCAGCAAAGCTCAAGGATCTAGGGAGTTTCACCATGGCCTGCACTGTCGGTAACACTAAATTTAAGAAAGCTTTGTTAGATTTAGGAGCAAGTATTAACATATGCCTTTATCTGTGTTTAATGCACTTGGAGTCAGGGATATTCTTATGCCCACTAACATTACTTTGCAGCTAGCTGATAGATCCCTTACATATCCAAAGGACATCTTAGTCAAAGTTGGATCATTCATTTATCCAGCTGACTTTGTTGTCTTGGATATGGAAGAGGATAATGATGTCCCTATCATTTTGGGCAGACCTTTCTTAGCAACCTGTGATGATGTCATAGAAGTGAGAAAGGGAGCTGTCGCTTTGCAGTTTGATGTGGAGAACATGTGACATTCAACATCTTCAACAGCATGAAAATCCCTGCAGAGATGCATGTGTTTGAAGCTTGACACTGTGGAGGAGACTATCGAGCAAGCATCTGCAGAGGTAATAGAGTTTGGTGAATTGCTTAAAATATGAATTGCTGTTGAAATGGATGCAGAGCATACAGATGAGAACTCAGCCATGATTTGGCTAAGTTACTTGGATCATTCTCCAAAGTGGCCACATAGAAGTCAACCTGTTGAGCTATGGGATCTTTCCAAGGATGGAAAAATTTATAAACCCTCCTTGGAAGAACCACCAATTATGGAGCTGAAGCCAGTGCCTACACACCTCAAGTTTGTGTATTTGGGAGATAACAACACTCTGACTGTGATCATCTCAGCATCGCTGACTGAGACAAAGGAAGACAAGCTGATGAGAGTCCTAAGGATGCATAGAGAAGCTATTGGTTGGACCATAGCTGACATAAAAGGCATCAGCGCTTCCATCTGCACTCACAAGATCCTCCTGAAGAGGAAGCAAAGCCGAGCATAGAAGGTCAAAGAAGATTGAATCCAGATGTGAAGGAAGTGGTCAAGAAAGAGGTCATCAAGTTGTTAGATGCAGGAATCATATACATTATATCTGACAGTGCTTGGGTGAGCCCAGTCTAGTGTGTTCCTAAAAAAAGAGGGATGACTGTGGTGGAGAATGATTAGGATGAACTCATTCCAACCAGAGTGGTTAGTGCTTGGAGAGTTTGCATGGATTATAGGAAGCTCAATAAGGCTACCAGGAAAGATCACTTCCCAATGCCCTTTATTGATCAGATGCTGGACAGGTTGGCTGGATATAGCTACTATTGTTTCCTGGATGGCTATTTAGGTTACAATCAAATTGTTGTTGCTGCAGGAGACCAGGAGAAGACCACATTCACATGTCCTTATGGCACTTTTTCCTTTAGAAGGATGCCATTTGGTCTGTGTAATGCACTAGCAACATTCCAGAGGCGTATGATGGCTGTTTTCTTATACATGGTAGAAGATATCATTGAAATTTTCATGGATGATTTCTCGATGTTTGGGAAAACTTATGAAGAATGTCTAGAAAACTTGAGCAAGGTGTTGCAGAGGTGTATAGAGACCAACCTGGGGCTGAACTAGGAGAAATGCCACTTCATGGTATCCGAGAGCATTGTTTCAGGCCACGGAATTTCAGAGAAGTGCATTGAAGTTGACAGATCCAAGATAGAGGTGATAGAGAAGCTCAGTCCACCAATAACACTTCTGGAGTGAGAAGGTTTCTTGGCCATGCAGGTTTCTACAGGAGACTCATCAAGGACTTTTCAAAAGTATCTAAGCCCTTGTGTAACCTCCTGGAGAAAGATGTTGCATTCATCTTTGATGAGTCCTATATGAAGGCATTTGAAGAGCTCAAGGAGAAGCTTATTTCTGCCCGTGTGATAGTCACACCTGAATCGACTCAGCCATTTGAAGTAATCACTGATGCCAATGACTTTGCAGTGAGAGTTCTGCTAGATCGGAGAAAGAATAGAGTGTTGCATGTTCTCTACTATGTAAGAAAAACTCTGAATGCAGCCCAGATCAACTACTCTACCACAAAGATAGAGATGCTGGCTATAGTGTTTGCTTTTGACAAGTTGAGATCCTACTTGTTAGGGATGAAGGTCATAGTATGCACTAATCATGCAGCCATTAAGTATCTGGCCACCAAGAAAGATTCCAAGCCAAGGTTGATTATATGGGTTTTACTGCTGCAAGAATTCGACCTGGAAATCAGAGACAAAAAGGGCATCCAGAACCAAGTAGTAGATCATTTGTCAAGCCTTGAAAATGCACCTGAAGATCCTGAGCCTATTGCTGAAGCATTCCCTGATGAACGACTTTGGAAAGTGGTAGAAGCACTTGCCCAAGTGTTCGCACAAAGACCATGGTTTGATGATTTTGCAAACTATGTTGTCTTAGGAATTACTCCTAAGGGACTTAGCTGGCAGCAAAAGAAGAAAGTTGATCCATGATGCCAAACATTACTACTGGGATAAGCCTTACTTGTTCAGAAGGTGTGTGGATCAGCTGATCAGATGATGTGTACCAAAATCAGAGGCACCTGCAATTTTGGAGAAGTGCCATAGCACACCATATGGAGGACATTATGGAGGCTAGAAAACTACTGCCAAGGTACTACAATTTGGTTTCTTTTGTCCTACTTTATATAAGGATGCTAGAAATTTTGTACTTAGATGTGATAAATGGCAAAAAACAGGAAATCTCTCCTGGAGGAATAAGAGGCCACATGAAATGATCCTGGAAGTAGAATTCTTTGATGTGTGGGGCATAGACTTTTGGGCATCTCCAATTATTACACTATATTTTACACCAAATTTAGTGTACAAATGGAATATTCCCGGCATCTTTTTACATCAAATTTCTTTGCACTCCAACCTTGATGCACCAAATTTTGTATGAAAATATTTTTTTTACACTTACATTTTCATTGAATTATGTTAATTCATATTTGTGCTGCAAGTTTTTATAATGTAGTGATTTTATTTATATCTAACCAATATCCGTAATTAAAAACTAATGATAAATAAAAATATTTTTTTTTAAAAAATAAATATTATAGACAATATGGATCTTATTTTGAAGATCTCAAAAAATCTTTTAATATGATATTACTTTCATAATATAATTTATTTTTTAAAGTCTAAAAATATAGCAAATCGTATTTTTTATCAAAATAAAAAATAGTGCCCAAAGATAGTGCAATTGGCAGTTTACACCAAATTTGATGTAACCTTATTCATTGCACCAAAATAATGCACTGATTTGGTATCTTCCTTGGAGCACAAACTTTACGCCAAAACACCAAATATAGTATTTTGGTGTCTTCATTGGAGATGCTCTTATGGGACCCTTTGTGTCATCTTATGGCAACAGACACATTCTACTTACAGTTGATTATGTTTCTAAGTGGGTAGAAGCTGTGGTAGTCCATTCTAGTGATGCAAAAACAATGATTACGTTCTTAAGAAAGAACATCTTCTCTCATTTTGGCACTCCAAGAGCTATAATCAGTGATGAATGCTCTCACTTCTACAATAGAGCATTCACTAACATGATGGCTAAGTTTGGCATTAAACAGAAGGTTTCTACACCTTATCATCCCCAATCGAATGTTCAAGTAGAGATATCAAACAAAAAGATCAAGAGAATATTAGAAAAAGTAGTCAGTAGTTCAAGGACTGACTGGGCTGCTAAGCTTGATGAAGCTCTCTGGGCATACAAAACTGTTTTCAAGACTCCAATTGGAATGTCTCCATTCAAATTGGTGTATGGAAAGTCATGCCACCTTCCAGTTGAGTTAGATCACAAGGCTTATTGGGCCTTGAGAGAGTTGAACTTAGATCCAAAACTCAACAGGGAGCACATGTCGCTGCAACTAACTAAGTTGGAAGAATTCAGATAGGAAGCCTATGAGTCATCCAGAATCTAGAAAGAGAAGTCCAAGGGATTTGATGATAATAAGTTGGTCAAGAAGCAGCTGGAGGTTGGACAGTTGGTCCTACTCTACAACTCCAGGCTGAGGCTCTTCCCTAGAAAACTGAAGTCTAGATGGGGAGGACCATTCAAGATCAGCAAGATTTTGAGCCAATGAGCTGTGGAGTTTATGAACCTGCAAAATGGGAGCACATTTCTGGTGAATGGACAGAGGCTAAAGCCATATTTGGGAATGCAATCTGACGGAGAACAGGACAGTCATGTCCTGGCACTCCATGATCTTGACTGATATCTTCAAGCAAAGCCTGGCATAAGACTATAAACTGTTGCGCTTCTTGAGAGGCAATCCAAGCATTTTTGTTCTTAACCCTTTCTTTTGTAGTCTTCTGTTTTGCAGGAAGTTTTTCTACCCAGATGAGAGACCAAATTCTGGGTGGAGTGATGATTAGTGTCTGAATAATGTCATGAAGGAAAGCAAAGCAACAGGATCAACACTTTGAGGAATTTGGATGACCACTTTCAGAAGTCAGTTTCTGACTTGCGTAAGCCATTTTGACTGATCAAAATGCAAGTAAGTCTACGTTTGACTTTGGAAACCGATATCGACTTTAAGTTTGGGAGAGAAAACAACCGTGCAGCATTAAGTGTTTTGGCCACCAAAAGGAATCTTTTCGCTATACAAAAAGACTGGGCATGGGGAGTTGTTGCCCTTTACTCAGAACCTGTACCTTCCTACATCCCAAAGCCCTTCTCTACTTTCCTCTCTCCAGCATCAATATCTGAACTTCATCTTCCTCAGTACTCTTCCTCAGAAACCTTCTGACTTCTCTCTGTATGGCACCTCAATGTCATATGTTCAAAGGTCAAAAGTTTCTTCCATCTCTACAAAAGATCTATGGCACCAAGAGTCAAGAGAACTGCAAGGAGAAGAACTCGTCAGATTCAGGGGATTGGATTCCCATGGGTTCATTCGGTGCTACCATTACTACCAATCCCAGATTTGGAAGATAATGAGGAGGACAAGGCAGAGATCCAGAGACACTTGAAAGAACCCCGAGATTGGAACTTCTTCTTAACCAGTCTTGCTTGGGATTTTTACAAGGAGAATAGGAAGAGGGTTGCCATGATTGAGCGATGCGTTATCAGTGACGACAATCTATCTACCATGTCTACTGCTGGTCAAGGAGTTTTATGCAAATTTCACTGGAGTACAAGGCGAACGATGCTACATCTTCATTCGTGGTGTTATAGTGGAGGCTAGCACAGAGGCAATAAGAGAAGTGTTAGGATTGCCTGAGGTAGATAACGACTGGCAACATCAATGAAGGTGAACATTTGGGATTCCATCAAGAGAGTGCTCTGCAACAACTATAAGGATTTTGAGTGGACTCCAGATAAAAATGGACATCCAAAACACTTCCCTGCAAAGTATCGTAAGGATCAGTACAGAGGCTGGTTCAATTTGGTGTGTACTGTTCAGGTAACTCAGGCAAGTGATCCTATACTCATCCCCTCCTTCCTGTTCCTCATTACTGTCTGCGCATAAGAGTTCCTTGAGGAGCTCATCTTGCAGTATTTCTTCTGTCACTGCTTCTTCTACTTCTACACTTCTTACCATGTAGCAGTTATGGACGTCAGCAGGATATCTCATATTTTTGAAGATGTTGGAGGTAACCTTCTCTCCATCAGAGTGCAGTGTGATTTCTCCCTTTTTCACCTTAATGATTGCATCACTTGTTGCCAGAAAAGGTCTCCCCAAGATGATGGGCACATCCTTGTCCTCTTCCATGTCCAAAACCACAAAGTCTACTGGGTAAACAAAATTCCCAACCTTCACAAGAACGTCATGTAAGATTCCCTTTGGGTAGGTCAGTGACCTATCTGCCAACTGCAATATCATGTTAGTAGGAACCAGAAATTTGTCCAGATCAAGTGATTTAAATACAGACAATGGCATGAGATTTATGCTTGCACCAAGATGTAGTAATGCTTTTGAAAATTCTCTGATTCCTACCGTGCAAGGAAGAGTGAAACTACCCGGATCTTTTAGCATAGGTGGTAATTTTCTTAGAATAGTTGCACTACATTCTTCATTTAGAGTAACAAAAGCAGAGTCGTGCACTTGTGGTTTGTTAGACACCAAATCTTTCAAGTACTTGAAGTATTTAGGCATTTGTTTAAGTGCATCAACAAGTGGTACATTAATATGTATGCTTTCCAAATTTTGAATAAATCTGTTGAGTCCTTCATCCATCTTGGCCTTCTTTTGTCTTACCGGATATGGTGGTATTGGAATTGGCTCTTGTGGCTTCTTAATTGGTGCTGGGAATTGAATTTCCTCCATTCCAGGTTTTTCAGCTGCTTGCTCCTGTTCAACCAAATCACCATTATCGGATATTTTCTCAGAAAATGTTTCCTGTTACCTGCAAGGTCGCTCACGGGAGAGACTTTTTCACTTGGCTGATTGAGTTGTTTTCCACTTCTAAGAGTTATAGCCTTTGCTTGCTCTTGATCATTCCCCATGGGATTTACAACTGTATCACTGAGCAGGTTTCCAGACGGTCTTTCAGCATTTTGTTTTGCAATCTAAGCCAACTGATTTTCTAAACTTTTGCAAGACACAGCCAAATTCTTGATTGCATTTTGCACAGAAATCCATTCATCTTCCCTTGGTATGTATTGCTGCTTAGAACGATGTTGATTCTGATAGTTGGGAGGTTGGCCATCTTGTCTGTGAAATCCTGGGAGTTGAGTAGGCCTCTGATAGTTCCCTTGGTGTGGTGCATTGTTCCAATTAGGATGCTGCTGATTTCTCCAATTGTTGAAGTTGTTGAATCCTCCGACATTGCCCTGCCTGACAAATTGGACAGCTTCCATTTTGGAGGACAATCATCCAAATTGTGGGATCCATCACATAACACACACAAACTTCAGCCTTGGATTTGGACAGCTCACTCCTGAGTTTTGTCATTTCATTCATCATAACAGCCATTTGTGCTTGCAAGTGTGTACTGGGATTAAGTTCCATCACTCCTGGCTGTTTTGTACTTGTCCTTGGATCAGATTGCCACCTTGAATGGTTGGTGGTCATATTGTCAAGCAACTGCTTGCTGCATCAACCGGCTTCATCATAAACACACCACCAGCTGCAGCATCAAGGGAGTCTCTTGTAGTTGGTAGCAACCCATTGTAGAAGATGCTCAGTTGAAGATGCTCTTCCAAACCATGCTAAGGGCATTTCCTGATCATTTCCTTCAGTCTTTCCCATGCTTCATAGAGTGTTTCAGTTCCATGCTGCTTGAAATTCATTATTGCTGTTCTGAATTGTGCAGCTTTTGCGGGTGGAAAGAATTTTGTAAGGAAGCATTGTCTTAACTCTTCCCAAGTGGAGATAGAATTGTTGGGCAATGTATTGAACCATGCTTGGGCGTGATCCTGCAAGGTGAAAGGGAATAACCTCAGTCTAATGTCATTATTGGATAAGCCTTGAATCTTAAAAGTACTGCATAAACGCAAGAAACTTCTGATATGATCATTAGGATCTTCTTGAGGTAATCCATGGAACGGGCAGGATGAGTAAGTCCATTGGATCATCTGTGGTTTTAACTCAAAATTGGTTGCCTCTGCATCGGGGAACACTAAAAGGGATTGGACTTCTTCTTGTTGTGGAATAAAGAAATCTCTAAACAATCCCTCTAGTCGATTATGTTGATCCCCACCAGGGTTCCTATTGTTCTCCGGGTTACCACCTTGGTCAGCCATTTCTGATGAACCTTCTTGGCGGTTCTGTTGCAACCGATTCTGCCTTCTTTTTGCTGCTGTGGCTCTGCGTATAGTAGCTTCAATTTCTGGATCAAAAACTGGTTCACTTCGTTGGTGCCTTCTAGTCATACACCAAAGAAAAGAAACTAGAAGCTTAGTGGGGTAACCAGAGAAGAATTTAATATATTTACAAATGAATGAAAACAACAAATTTTGGAGGTTTTACACCGTCCCCGGCAACGGTGCCACTTTCTAGTGCGTGCCGAGTTCACCAAAAATATTACTAGCTTGGATTGTGATTTTTGTAGATAATGGAAGCTAGGTCGATCCCACAAGGACAGCTAATTACCAAATTCGTTGTTAAAAGACTACCAGTTAGACAAGGTGTCACTCAGGGGAATGGAAACAGTCACTCAGTGGAATAAAAGCCAGGGGTGTTCATCTCCTCTTCCTAATGCAGTAGTTGTATAATCAGCATTGTAATGGTTAAGTTCTTATTCATTCAGCTCAGTTATAACTCTAAGTTAGTTCCCATTTTTCCTAGAGTCATCTTTGCAACCTTAACAATCTATTTTCCAATGATTGGTTCTAGTTATAAAGTCATTAAGATCTCAGGCTTACATGGATGCTCATGTCTAAGTATATTCCTATCTTAGTTAAAACCATAGACTGCTACCTCTATGTCAAAAGTTGAAGTTGAAACAATCCAAACCATGTTTATCTTTTCAGATCTCCCTTAGTTCTAACATGCATTCAATTTAGTGATCAAGTAAATGAATGTAGCAAAAAACTTTTAACTTCAAAACAAAGAACAGAACCAGTGCATTACAACAACTCCAACATAGGTTGAGGAGATTAACCCCTGGAAGCTACTTAACTACTCATGCAGATTAATGCTACATCTACTACATCAAAAGATATCATAGAAGTATGCATCATAAAATGAAGTTCAAGCTAACAGTCAAGAGACGAGAAAAAAGCTTGTGCAGTTCTGAACCACTCCTGAGAGTGAACGAGTTCACTTATGGAAGTGAGGCAGTGACTGGGATAGCTGTTTTTCAACTTGACTTCCTTACTGAGTTGTTGCTGTTCCTTCTCCCTTCTTGCCTTCTTCTGGAGTTTTTCTGTGTGTTCTTGGCAACTAAAAGGTGTAGCCATAGATGCCCATTTCTGAGAGTGCAGCTCCCTTTTTATAGAGCCCTGAAGCCGGTTCTTCAACCAAAAGAGCCTCCCCATGCTTATGAATTATTTAATCCTTCCTAAGGCTTGTGTCTGGAATCCGAAATTGACTAGTCTTCTTCTCTTCTTCCAGCAGTGGCAGCAGCAACCTCATTGATCAGCATGGGTGGTTGGAAATTCAGCCAAGGAGACAAGCATGCCTTTGGAATTCTAAGGAGAGACACACTCATTAATGTCAAGGTGCTTTGTATCTTGGGAGTGTTTTTTCGACCAACTCAGCAAAATTGTATCCAGCAACCCACAAATTGTTCCTTTGGCCCCAATTTTCAGTAATTGTTCAATCAAGACCTAACCTAATAAAAACACAAAAACTAGTTAAGTGAAATGCACTAATACTAAGGAATACCCCCAATTTCTTACTAAATTCAGAGTTAATTATGATGCTTTTATGTAACAAATAAACCATTATCATGTACAAATATTAAACCCAATAAGGCTCATTGATTTTTCACTTTTGACAGAGCCCTGCTAGTATATGCAATTGTCAAGGACATCACCATTGATGCTGAAATAATTATTGGCGAGCAGATTGAAGCCTGCGTTACTAACCAGAAGCAGAAGCGCTGGTTCTTCCCCATCCTGTTCACCATGTTGATGGATCGAGCAGGGGTGCATTTTGGCCACGAGATAAGAGGGCGGAACTACCTCTGCCTTGGCACCTGGCACCACCACCACCGCTGCCACCACTTGCAGGATTACCATACCCAAAAGTTCAAGGAAGTCATCAGTTTTTTGTTCTTCTCCTTTTTAGTTTTGTTATTTTATGTTTTTGTGTGTTTTTGGTATCAATTCTCTTCATCTCCTCCTCTATTTTCTTTTTACTCAACATTGAGGACAATGCTGGATTCTAAGTTTGGGGGAGGGAGCGAAGAGAATTCTCTGTGTTTAGATCTCTGTTTTTACTTGTGTCCTCTTGAGTCTTTGATTTTGGGCTTTTTGCCCTATTTTTCTGTTTTTCTGTGTTTTGTTTCCCTCTCTGTGATCGAGTCAATTAAGTCTTTCTATGTGTAAGTTAATTAAGAATGTATGCTTAGTAGATAGTCATATGTCAAGGATGAACACTTGGCTGAACACTTGTTTAAAAACTGTTTGATCGAAATCAAAACTTGCTTCCACTTCCTCATGTACATAGCTCACTTGAAAAAGTGTTATTCTGGACTTAAATGCTTAACATTTGAAAATTTTTCCTGTATTGATGTGATCTGTACTAGATCTCACTTGTCTGTTAACCTGGGGGAGCACTGTAAATCTAGATAGAGT